TCAAGCAAGCAAGCAATCAATCAAGCAATCAATCAATCAATCAATCAAGCAATCACTTTTGATTAGGGCCTTGATCACTTAATCGCAAGGCTGAATGCTTGTTTAGTATGTCTAGCTTCACGTACAGTTGAACCACATTAATAAGAGGTTCTTGCACATTACGTGCAAATTGTTATCTACTCCAAGCGGAACAAAAGAGGGCGTGTTTGTTTTGGTATTCAATGCACGAGGCGCCCAAGTGTATGCGCTTTTGACACAGAGCGCGTTGAGTACGCGTAACTAATTTATTCTGGCATGTATGGTCTTTGCGTACATGCAGAATGCGCGCAAGAACCCGCTTGTAACCACCTGTCTTTCTTTTTGCTGATTGGGGGTGCACTTCAGCTCGGGGCGGATAAGAGGAACTGCTTATTATCAGGAATAAAAACAGTAAAGAACAAAGGATTGGGATCCAAAAATTTCCTTGTTATCAGTGCTCATATGGACAATTAAGTTGGATGAACTGTATTATGTTTAATCAACAAGCACAGAGAAACAAGTACATGGAAGAAATCCTCTAGAGGACCTTTGTGTCTTAGGGCATCTTTAAAATGCAACTCAGTGGGGCCAATCTTTGCATTCAAATGTCACAATTTTTAAAAAATGTTTGCTGACAGTGTTCACTTTTCCCGAAGGCGGTATCTTTCCCAGCCACATCAGCGGTACAGCTGCACTTCAAAAACAATGTTAGGATAATGCAGGATAAGACAAACGCATCTAAGCAATGTCATCCCCATCGTGGATGTATTAATGGCTTACTGATAGGAGATTCTGATTGGTTTGGAAAAATGTCACACTCATAATCATGGTGAGATGAAATGGTCATGTCATCCAGTGCAAAATGCTTGAGATTATTTTGTTCAAGACACCTTTGGTCTGCTCTCTTTTGCCTTCAGAAAGGAAGCTTTTACTTCCACAGAGTGGCATCAATCAATCAAGAGATAATAATAAAATTGAAATTGCACCTTTTACATCAAAACGACCAAAGGCACATTAACACGACTTGAAAAGTAGTTTTAATTTATGGGTTTTACCCTGACACTGATAGATACATGTATTAATAATCGGAATTATGAAAATTTGTCAGTTTCAGAGCAAACCCATAATGTAAATTAACATCTCCCCGATGCACAGTATACTGTACGCTTTTTGGAACTTTGAGAAGGACAAAACATGAAAAGTCACAAGAATTGTAGAGAAAGTTGTAATAAAGACAAGTCACAGGGCCAGGGCCTATAAGCTTAGATACGTCTGTTCCACCAGCATGGAATAAAGGAAATAAATTACTTCAGCCTACCCTGGTTACGTGCCTCGACCTTTTCTGGAGAAAGACACCTCCAATTTAACCTATGCAAACAGACATCTACATGTACATCTAACTGGCAAGGCAATCCTTGACCCAGAGTGGATGCAGTGAAACCAGTGGAAAAATACAAGCATGTGACCATGTAAATGAATTAGAAACATGTGACTGAATAATCAACAGACCAATCGATTAATTGAGTAACAGAATAATCCTTGCAACCTCAGCAGAAAGTTAATGATAATTCTAATTCAAACAGAAACAAAAATTACGCACTCACCGATAACCATAACTGGCAGGTAGAACAATTTTTGAAGGAGGGATGTTTGTGAAGATGCGAACAGGAGAGCCCTTTTTACAGGCTTTCTTGCTGTGCTGAAACAGGGGGTGGTTGTTATACTCAACCTAGGAAACAATTAAGAACATGTCCTGAACAATTTGCGTCAACATTAATAAAATAATATGCCAATTCATTTAGTAACATTACTAATGCACCCCTAAAGAATTTCTGACTGTTCATGTTTTATCTCTCTTTGATTTGTTTGCAAGCATTTTCAAGAACACTTCCTCTCGGATAATGGTCAGCATATATTCTTTACATGTTGCCCTTAACATCAACGCAGACTCAATGGCAAAATCACCAGATTGAGTAACATCTATCAAATTAACTCATAAGCTCTCAGCTTTTCTTACTGGCCGGATCCCCGAGTTCCATGCCTTAAATCCCCCACATCAAACAAGAGCTACTGAGGTGTACTCTCCTCAATCCTGCCAAATTTCCTGGCGGATTTAGGACTGATCTTGGCAAGAGTTTCAATTAAAATTGAAAAATATTTTCCACATGTACATGAGCAGCCCTGAACTCTACAGAGCTACGGCACTAATGCTACATATCAACAATAACAAACAATGTCTCTTTCTGGTTTAATAAACACCCGTCTATTTTTGTGTCTACAGAATGTTCATTCTAAGGTTAACAGTCTACATACATGTACATGTAGCATTTTGTGGCTGGAGTCATTTGCATTGTTTTTATGCACATTATTGTCAAGGGCATATATGTGACCTGTCACCACCAAATGAGCTGAAAGTTGGGATTTTCAAAAACTGAGATATTTGTATTTGGGAATTCAGCAGAAAAAGGGCTTTCCAACGGTGTAAATGGAACACTTACGGTAGAAGTACATGTACATTCATAAGGTGACAATGTGGCATGGCAGCTCTGCATCTTTGTTTCAGACATCGCTTTTCTTACCCGACAATAATAATGCTATCATCAAAATTGCTGAAAAAATGACCTTTTTAACCAGTTCCTGCCGGGGATTGAAGATCCAGACAAAGGGAGCAGGGCCTTGTAACAAAAGACTGTACTTGAAACAAAAGACCAGGCTGCTGGAAATCAGCTACATTTTTTCACTCTCAAAAGTGAAGATAATCCAGCCTTGTTTTGAAACAGTATACCACCGTTTGGGGCATTCAGAGCGAGCAGATTACCATCGGGGACAAAAGCGCTCCACCACCGCAGCGATAAGCCACACAGCACTGCAGCATGCTAATCTGGCCCCTATTGAAAAGAGGTCAACAGCACACTGAGCCAGGTTCGTGAACGAAAGAAAGTTATAGAACACCGCACAATCTGGGCTCTTTTTACAAGGCTGCAGGCCTGGCTGAAATACTCAGGCGTCAATAGATTTTGTCTGTCAGGCTAGAGGGGCCACCAGACAGTCCTTCACGTGTTTGTAAGTGTCCAGTAAATAAAGATAGGAATTTTAAAGAATTTTGAAAACAGAAAAAAATGATAAATATCCCGGCCAAGCATCATCAACATTGATAACTGCCCTGGCAGGAAGTGGTTAAATATACGATCCTATGAAATATTTGGAATTGCATAAGAGACCGGTTACTGTTTCCAACTATTAAAAAAATTGACCTCCAATTCACTATGACTTTGAACCCTCAAAATAAGAAACAACAGGTCACATACATGTATACCAGGGACGTTATTTTCCCTTTTTTTTACTCAGTAAGGAGAATGGTATTCACCTTGTAGTCAAGCATGACAAATGAGGGGAGGCCTGCCACAATCCTGTGCTCCAGAAAGTAAGGGAAAATCCACATGACTGGCAGTTCTTTTGACGAATCTGGCCCTGTGTTGAGAAATATTTCTTTGAAAACTGATGACATCATAATTTCTTTCCCCCCAGCCTCCATCAACCCTATGACAATTAAATTGCTTTTTCCCAGCCCTTCCCGAAATCCATCAATTCTCCCCCAAATCCAATCAAATCCCCTCAAAGATAGTATGGATTGGTTTTGCTTTGCACTGAAATAGCAGGTACACAAGGACATGTACATGCATAAGTATCATTTAAGGTAAGAAAGTTACTGTGAGTTGGGGATATTTGCCACTGTGAATTATAAATTAATTACTTTAGAACAATTCAGCACAGCCATGTTGAATTACATGAAGTTGTACAGTGTGACAAATAAACTAGGAAGTCTCTTTATAATTAAAAGGTTACAGGTTTTGATTGATGAGAAGTTCTCAGTGAACCCCGAGCTGGAGCAAGAGAGGGCACAACTTTCCCAGCAATGCAGGCAACCTTAGCACTATAAAGTGCACTTCACTGGTTCACAAACAACTTGGAAATGCTTGTGTTACGGTTGTATCGCTACCAACAAAATTAACATTCTTGACCAACGTTGGCCAATGAGGGAGTACTTCTGCTAGAGGCAGATAATCCATGTCTATGTTAATACCCATACACCTCACAAAGATTGCAAAGGACAGACACAAATGGCTTTCAAATATTACAGACAAATCAAATTTGAAAAATCCCTCCACAAATTTAAACATCGAAGTAATATGAGAAACAAAACGTTTAACTTCAAAGCTTAACTTTAAATAACATTAAGCTGAATTAAGCCTGGGGAAATTCCAAATATGAAGGCAAAAACCTTCAATTTATTGGGGCTCAAGTGCCCTGCTAAAATAGCATTCAAACATCATGCAGCCCTTACCATGTGCACCTTCCTTCCACAGTGCCATCATCCTTTTCAACACCTCCACCAGAATTTCAACCCGCCCCCCAAATGGAGGGTCTGTGACCACTACCACATTGTTGCCACGGTTACAATGCAGGAACTCCCGACAGATACTCCTGCTTGGCTCCCCTTCAAAGAAGTGGTCGTTGAACATGTTGTAGCGACAGAACAGGCTCGGAGGGTAGAACTGGCCCTGGAGCACAACACATGCCACAGATACCGGCAAAAATTAAATATCAGGGTTTTTATAGTGACAATTTTACTGACAACTGACCTTCCACTGTACCCTATCCTAGCCCTGGCTCCCAACATACCAACATACACCCCTTCCCTCATCTCTCTTTTGTGAAAAATGAGAAGCTGGCAATAACCTATGCTCCTTTAAAAAATTACCAATAAAGTTTACGGTGGTTGAATCTGATGATCTTTACTTCCTTTTATATGCATACTGTAAGATCGGTTTCAATGTGACTTTAAGCAAAAAGTACATGTATTCGTAAATAAATGGAATCAGAAAATTGATTAAAATCTTGTAATAATCGTCAATGGCTGTATATTCACCACAGTTTCAGTAATTTGGCTAAGTCTATCAAAGTTCTGTCACAAGTGAATTCAATCGTATGGACATAAGTAAACAGAAGCAAGGATAACTATGACCAAAGAATATCACAGTTCATTTTGATAAGTGTATGACTTTGACTTGAGACTCAACCACCTCTGATGGACTTGGGAGACCTTGTCAGAGCTCAGGCCTTAATTATGACACATCTAAATGATTTTCCCAAAGTTGTTTGACCTTTACAGAAACTTGTTATATAACTGACAGCTATTCATTTAAACACTGGAAATTAAGCAAGAAAAATACAGTTTGTCTCTGGTCAGACTGACGTTCCTAAATTGATGCGGTGACGCCGCTCCTCCAGGGTCGGATTGTATGGACAATTGCAGACACGTTGTCGAGTCATGGGACTAGACCAGCTTCATTATGATTATAAGCTGACTACATACAACTTCGTATCCATAGTCTGCTATCATTGTTCAACATCAATCTCATCCAGATGTATCGCCCTGAGTAAAAGATCGAGCTGCCTGCAAAAATCTTGAGGCAGTTTGGCAATAGAGGGCACTGTAGCAGCTCTAGCAGAGAAAAAAAACTTGACGCCTATGCTTGAAATCGATGTGCACGCTGACCAAAGATTTTTTTTTGCCTTAACATACTACAGGTACACATTCGTCTGCAATGAAGTCAAGGATAACATGTACATGTGTACTGACAAAAGTTGAAAAGACATTATCTCAAAACAAGTCTGGCTTTGAAATCAGTAGAGGGCAGTATTCATCAAACACCATGTGCAATCTGCATCAAAGTACTCCCAGTTTACTCCCTAGACATTTTCGCCACGAATTTTAACCCTGATTCAGCTGTTTTTGGACCATCTCACAGCAGCACGTAAATACTTTCATTATGAGCACATCTCTTAAGCACCAGTGCAATCTAACACAGTGTTTTGTTTGATGGTCATTTGTAGTTTATGGCCTTATTGTGCCGTGTGTCTTGAGCATGTCATTGGGAAACTTCAAAACTGACATTTTTGGCTGACCTGCCTCAGAAAAATTGTCATCTCAAGAGAATGGTATGTCTATTTTTTTCTATTTATAATTGATGTCAATATGATCATGAGACATTACTGGAATAGCTCCAGAACGTTCGGGACAGAAAAGAAAAAGCATTGTGATGATGGAAAAAAAACAGGGGGTAGATCTTCAGCCCCTCCCCCCATTTAATGACTTACGAATCTACCCAAATTCATCAGTGCACAATGTTCTTGCTATTTACTTAAGGGGGAATATACTAATTGTAAAGTAAGAATTCACTTGCTCTACCTTCCCTGGCCCTACAAAATCCTACTAAACCTTTTTTTTAGATTCTGAAGCATCTGGGCAGCTTCAGGCCATGTTATATCATTGCTTACCACAACTGTAAAAATAGATTTCTGAGTGTGTGCAGCCTTACGTATCTGTGATCTATATCCAGTAGAAGACTGTTCAGCCCCAATGACTGCCTTGTCTGAATCGCTTCATGTAATCTAAAAACAAAAGCAGAAAGAGGACTCCTTACACCATGCTCAACTTCTTTGGGACTGATGAAATGCATTTAAAATAAACAGTAAGCACGTATGTGTGGACAATAGGAACAATTCACAAGATGGTACGCCCACCAACATTTATCCCTGGAAAATTATTATCCTCAGAAGGCCTGTTTCTAGCTCAAGTGGTAGGTCAATGTCAGTTACAACGCCTTGCAGTTGGTAGATATCCAGTGAGTGAGACCGCTGTCAACAAAAGACGAAATTGTGATATATGTGGTATCCCGTGTCATAAGGTAAGCCAGTTGCATGACTCGACTGTGGAAATTGTGGCTGTGTGGACAAGACACAATGATTTAAAGCCATGCACAATCGCTGATTAACAACACTGACTTTTAACCACAACACAGTGCACACTTCCTCTGATTGAAGGCCTCTTTCCACTGATTTCAGGCCTCTAAAGATTGGTTCAGATTCAAATCGTTCTTACTTCTTGCACACAAAGTCTAAAAAGACCAGAAGACCCTCACAACTCCTAACAGGACTTTCAAAATGAAGACCATGATCCATTACAAAGCTAGAAATGTGCCAAATGTGTTGGATGAGCCTTTGCAAAAGAAACAAGTTAGGGCAGATTTTAAAAATGAATTGAACAGGGCAGGACAGATTTACACAGACAGAGGCCTGCAAGTACTTCTACAGTGATGAGAATTTTAAATTACATGTATATATAAAGCAACAACTGAGAGAAACTTGCCTCTGGAAGGAGGGTGTTGCATACATGTAAGTCAGATCAAACAAACCAAATACTTTTGAAAAGTGCTTGTAAATAATATTCTCAGAAACTGATGTGAGGATAAAATTGTACACTACATTTTTGCACTTTCCTTAATATGGGTTTGCTTAAAGAGTTTGCACAGGCAACATTTATGTTTTTTATTGTGGCAAAGTGGAACCACTTCTGACGAAACCACCTGCTGGACTTTTTCAATTCATTACATTCTGATTGGAAAGCTGTGAACTTACTTAAAGGCAGCTACATTTAGCAGACAATGCTGAAGTGGTTTGTGCTGAGGCATAAGCCATACATGTGAGGTGCATACAGGCACGCGCATTTCTCTAGTAGGAACATGGATTTGGCCACCTCAGACATGTCTTCTAAATGCTAAGATCACTCTACAGTTTGATGAAATTGTAAACATTCAAAGATATCACATTTTAATACCTCGGCACTCCCACACACAGAACTCGGTCAAAGCCTAACTCCTTGACACTCGACACCAGGAATTCGGTAGCCTCCTGTGAAAACAGATATTGCTGAAAGACAAAATGTATCCGGTATTGTTAACGAACAAATTGGGTAGGGGGTGCACAGCACAAATCTAACCAGGGTCAAGATGGTGACGCAACAAGAACCGGAGTTTCAAGATGCACATGTACCTGTATTTTGCATCGAGGATTTTAATTACAGTTTTGGCCCTTAAGTGACATATATGATTGGTCGATGAATATTACCGAGTATACAGTATTTATAAAAACATATACGCTGGGTAAGGGCAAAACCTATAACTAACCCTAACCCTCCAATACCCTCCAAAATCCTTTTCTGCAAAGTGGAGGAATTTGGAGGATTCAGGATGTATGGCAAAAGTGCATGGCTGATTCTGAAGGATGCCATACGTGAAGATCGTGGATTAGACCTTATGTTGTTTCTGCTTAGTCAAGCACAATTTCAGCCCGACATTTCTTTTGAATCAACCGCACAGCTCAAGAGTGCCATTCGCACAGGAATTGCCAGAGGATTTTGAAGGATTCGGGCAGTTAGGCACACTTCCAAATGACATTTTCAAGAAGTTTTGGAGGATTTTAGCGGATTTGGGCTGAATGCAATTTTCTTATGTTGAAAATTGGAAGATTTCGGAGGATTCAGGATGGTTCTTAATAAAAGGACCTGGGGGGTAGGGTTAAAAAAGAAACAGAGTAATATAAAACAATAGGGCAATGAGGAACACACTACAAACAACATGTCCTCCCAAAAAACAGTTCCTGCCTGCTGAAGCGTTTCCAAAACATGGAAACATGCCTCAAAAAATGAATCTACCCTAGACACTACGCTATTCTTATCACAGTAGAGTGTGTTCCACTTCTCATTTGTGTCTACTTGATACATGGCCAGTGGCATGAATTTGTGCCGGAAATAGGGGGTATATACCCCCATGTACCAGTAGCTGGCAAGGAGGCAGATGGGCTGGGACACTGTAACTGGCTGTAATCCAGGAATGCCCTCCCATGATCACTCACAGGATCAAAGGATCAAAGGATCCACAGAAGATTTCTGGACTCCAACTTTATACTCACCGCATTTGTCTTACTGTTCTCTAGAGGAACTAGCAGGTGGGATGGTTGTCTGAGCTCCTCGTCGGTCAGGCTGGATTTCACCGTGTGCTTGGCGTGTTCCCTGAATTCCCTTGGGTAGAGCAACAAGCTGCAGTCCACACAAAACCTCCTGTCCTTCCATTTCAAGTCCTTTGTGGCCTCCATCCTGAATGGAATAAAATCACATCTCCCTGGATAGAACAAGATCTTAATGAAGCTATCCTGCTGTGAATTGTCTGCACTGGAGAATTCTGCTAGAAGGGGCAAAGTTTAGGTTTTTTGTTGGCATGCCCAATTTTCAAGTTCCATTTGGACAACTAAAATCAAGGCACAGAGAGAAATATAAACGACATAAAGAAACTGTGACCAAGTCTTCTTGTTTCCAAGGATATGTTTGTTTGCTTAATGTCCAAATGATTCTAAATTATTCTAAGGATACTGTATGTTCGTTTGCTTAGCGTCCAAATGATTCTGAATTATTCCAAGGATATGCTTGTTTGCTTAGCGTCCAAATGATTCTGAATTATTGCTAATATCCATCTTCCCATCTTATCTTGGCCAGGCTTTCCCCATTCAGTACACCGAGCTGTATGTGCCTCTTCTACAACCCACAAACACAGTTTGGTTGGACAGCCTGCCTTTGGGCTCTTAGTCCCCACCTTGACCAAATCTCAAGCTCCCAAACTGTGTCTTATCACAGTCTCCAACAAGGCCAACTCTCAAACGACACATGGGCCATACGTCAGCCACCGTCTGTGCTGGTTTCAGACCCTATACAAGCCAAGTCACGCTCCCTGCCTGGGCCTCATCTCATCCCTAATTGAAAATGTTATGGAGCTACATGTAATAACAAATTCATGAGGTAGAACTCATATTACATTGTATCATGGGCAAATATCAAATGCTCCTTTGGCCTGTCACAACTCAATACTAACTCAGAGATGCCAACTTTTCAAAATGAAAAAGTGTAATCCTATCACACTTCCAGTTCCGGTTCCCTGACCAATCCCAATTTTTTGGCGCAACCCCCCAAATTTTCATCGGCAAATTAGAAAAAAGTTTTTAAAAATCCTGTTGTCTTTTCTTTCAAAACAAACACCTGTCAACAACTTCTTTTCACTTCAAAACACTTGTAATTTACCTGACTAACACTGTAATAAATGTAATTAATAGTTGATTATATTTCCACATTAATTCTGCTAAGTTTTCACTTTTGTAGCAATTTTGGGCACTTTCTGTCCTGTTCAATCAGCACAAAAAAACTGTCCAAAAATCCTTACCTACCTACCCTACTTAATCACAGGCAGAGCTATTTTTTCTTGGCCCTAACCAACGTGCTTCTCAGTGTCGTAAGATCCACTGTGGGCAATATTTATCATGTCACAGTTACATGCGTTGCAAAACACGTAAGCTTCTCCACGACAACATTTGTCGACAAGACTTTGCAATAAAGGTCCATTTTTGTGGCGTATTCGTCCCTGATCTTCAGCTCACTTGTTGCCACTGTGCAAAACAAATCCAGACCACCAAATATCCAAGAATCAAATCCTCGACAGTCCTCCACTCCGATCTGGTCAACCTTAGTACGATCATGACGTTCGACACACGTGTGTACGATATCGGTACATGTACCATGCATGGATGTACACAATCATGTTGCATATGAAGTGCAATCGAGCCTATTCGCCCCCTGTTCGTCATAGCGTTAATTGGGATGAATGGATGATTCAACAATGCTGGTTTCTACTGCTACTCATGCAGTTTGTATGCACACACTGCGGGATGTCAGCAACAAATTTCTGATGCGCGCTTAACGAGGCCGGCCGGCTCCCTGCTGGCTTACGTACAGTTTATAGACAACTGTATGGTTTTGTACCTTCGAGTTGGAAATTGTAAAAATCTTAGTCTGGCTCGTACAGTCATAAATGGACGAAACAAATCGTAAAAACTACACCTAAATCACACAAGTTAGCATCTGTGCACATAACAATGTCCATAGGTTCATTAGTCATATTTCACATTTCTTTTTTGAGGACAGGTTACAGAAAGGAAATGCATGTACCTTTTGTAAAAGTCCTCGTGGCTTTTCCATGGCTGTTGTGCTCTGTTATGCTCTTCTCTGACCTTTGACCTAGTCTCCGACACCCTCTCATCGGCTGACTGAAAGAAGCTGCAATCCTTCCTGTCCCGACATGCTGAGCATGCGTAGTACCGCTCTTTTGCATGATGACCTTTGGATGCGTAACGCTCAAAAAGGAGTGTTGGACCTGCATGCAAACAGAATGGTTCAAAACTTTGAAAATGCATCAATGCAGTGTCAAGCTTCATACCTAAGTAACTTGGTTTCACTCAGTGGTACAAAATGCTGAAGACAGAGCCTCCTTACTAAAGATCACATGGTGGTGTATGTTCTCGGTTTTCTGAAAGTTCCCCGTGCTTGAGAACAGGAAGTTTGTAAGCCTTTCCTTGAATCAAGGGTAAAATGCAGGCAAGGCAGTTGAAGACATGTCTTCAATTCTGAGGTGTCAGGTCTGCAGTCTCTGGACTCCATTCCTATGGTATATGTATATTATCATGTATCGTATCTTTTCAACAGCCAACCAGTGGGGGGGGGGCACATCCCCCCCCACAATTTCCTAATGCCCCCAAGGTGCCCCCCACTGAAAAAAAACGGATGAATGGATACTGAACAAGGTAAACAAAAACTTGCCCCAAAAACCACACCACTGAAAGCTGGTGCCCCACCACTGAAAGCTGGTACCCCACCACTGAAAAGCTGGTACCCCACCACTGAAAGCTGGTGCCCCACCACTGAAAGCTGGTGCCCCACCACTGAAAGCTGGTGCCTCCCATAAGGTGCCGGTGCCCCCTTTGTGCCCCCTGCTAGTAAAATCCTAGCTACGCCACTGCTGCCAACACATATTCTATCAACATTCTCCACTAAATGATGAAAATTGTGCCACTGTGTAAAAAGAAGACTGACTTGTGTTGACATGTTTTTCCCCCCAAAACAGGAGGCAATGTAAATAGCTCACCTAGAAATGGAAAACATGTAAATGTACATGTACAACAGAAATTTTTGCAATGTATAATAACACGTACTGTATGTCAAAAATTAGGATTCAGGATTCAAGCATTTCATGAAAACAAAATTCTCTAACTTTTCCATGATGAATTTTCGAAATTCCAGGATGATTACCTCAACCTATTTCACTAAAAAGCCACCACTGCTAATTACATGTATTTATGCATCCCACTGCGTGGCATTCCTCCATAATATAAGTATAAATGTAGGGCGACAATATACATGTACAAAAAATTCCTATTCATAGTTGGCACTGGAATCAAGACAGTGCACAGGTCTTTGGCTTACAGGATTCAATCCCAGCGGTAGGCCTACACTTCTTGAAGTCTCAGTGTTTTAAGGCAGTAGAGGCTGGAACTAAAATTTTGCTGTATTGCGTCATGGAAACATGTGCAGTCAGGACTTTGGGGGACTTCAGAAACTTTACATTGACAAATCTTTGTCTGGTTCCATGCTTACATATACTGTCACAGTGAATTCCCACCATTTCACAAACAGGATTCGAACCTACATGCACATGTGGTGCAATGTCAGACTTTTTTCCTTTCAAAAAATCTAGCCATGAATGACAAACAGCAAAGTGAAATCACCTGCAATTTAACTTGAGGGTTTCATAAATTTCAAAACTACAAAAGGATAATATAGCAACTTTCTGAGGATCAGGGGGTACAAAAATAGACCACTAACTCTGCAATTCCAGCTCATGCCACTGTGTTCTATCAGCAAGAGCAGATCGGGGGAAGGGAGATGAAATCTCTAGCTTTAGGACTTATAAATGGAATATACTTTTTTTTTAAAAGAATTTTTTTACAGTTATTATGCCCTAACTATAGCGTCTGTCCCAACTATAGGGCTGCAGTTGGGCTGACCCAACTGCTGTTGACCAATTTCTAGTTCAGAAAATCTCTTAGCCTTATCCAAATTTTATGCATCTCACGCTTGACACACGGCACTTCATGTATGACATTGGAAATAAAATGACTTTGGGCAGTTTGGCACATACATGTACTGAGCATACTGGACCACTGTATAGTAGTTGGGCCAGCCCAACCATAGCACTAGAAACAGCCATGAATTAGTTTGGGTGACATGCCCGAGGCCTGTGGCAGTAAGAAAAGATCAACCTACCATGCAAATATCCGGCAACCGCGCATACATGTACTGACCTATCGTATGGTCAGCATGGTCATCAGCAACCAAGAAAGGTTACAGATCCTACTAATGCCTTTCTTTTAATATTTTTAATTACTGTCTTAATTATGCTTAGTAATCATGGTAATAGCCTACGTACGTATACTAGACCTAAGTATGTTTTTGATGTAATGTCTGTGAATGTGGTAATTCATACACGTACATGTTGTAGTCTACATGTAGGTATTTATGTAAGCTGAGGTCCCTACTCCGAGTACTCGACAAGCATAGCATTTTAGGGACTCCAACTCTACCCTTATGTGAAAATAAAGTGAACCTAAACCTGAAAGCCAAACAAAACATGACCAGATAACCTACGGCACACCAACTCTGTGGGGGTCCGACGTCCTCCCCGTGGGAGCGGAGCAGACGTGCGTCGGACCCAACAGTTCTAAGTGTAACGTTTATGCTACTGGTCATGGTGGTGACGAATACAAACCATGTGGACAATGCGGTGAATTACGTTCCAGACAGACGTCTACCCCTAGACTGCTGGAAGTGTTTGCTGCACACATTGTATATCTTGGAAGCCACAATTACAAAGCACAAGGGCACTTCTGAAGACACGTTTTCTTGAGACTGGGCACACATCCGTGGCATACATGCACAAGCGCCCTCAAGAGACTACCTTACCAAAGGATTGATCGCTAGACTTTTTCCAAGTCTCTCGTATTGTTTCGGTTCACATTGTTTAGGATGTTATGCGAGCCCCCAAAGGAGTGGTAATGCTCAATTATGGTGTACTATTAAGACCACACTTTACAGCATGGTGAGTGTTGTTTCAGATAGCATGGTGGTTGTTTTGCAACGCTAGCGTGGTATTAAGTGTTGTTTCGCAGCGCTGTTGTTTGAGTGCGCGTACGGTCCAGTATCGTGGACACTACATATCGCCTTTTTAAAAATCATTTTGGACATGGTCGGGCGATCGTAGAGTCAAAGTACCTTCCGTAGGCTTTCCGTCGTTTTCAAGTTCTTCTACAAGAGTAGACCATGATAGCTACACCGCGCCGACCAACAGACTGTTATGCGTGCAAGAAATCTGCAGAACTTCACGGATTGCTGCCTTTTCCGATTTCTTGCTGAAACATAATTTGATTGATTTTACATCTCATATCCACCCCGCCCCCAATTTAAAACTTAATGAAGGGCTGAGAACCCTAACTGTTTTTCATTTGTACTGAACTCATCATCAAACCAACATAAAAATAGCTCATGCATGACAAAACTGATAGGGGACAAAAATACTTGGAGAGGACAGAATAACCTGGAGGGGGAGTGATTACCGGACCGGGAGGGCACTTTCAGCCAGGTACCTCTGTCCCCTGATAGTTTTACGGAACAGATTTACCGTCTACAGCGGTGTGATTAGAGTTGTTTAGCGGTATACTGTGTTGTTTGGTAGCCGCTCCAACTTGAGCATGTTCCGCTAGACTACGCCCATCGACCGTATGTGTCATTGAGGAAGCTGACGAGCAGAGAGCACGCAACTTATGAATGCCCTGTTGTCCGGTCCCCTGACACAAGAGTTGGCCTCTCCATCCCAACTTATTCCTTGATCAACTGGTATAAGTAAATAGGTTTGTCTGATCAGCTGCTACTAGTGTTGTACTTACCAATAATGACGAAAGAAAAAAAGGCTGTCCCGACTCGACTCCGCCCTTTCACGCCTCAGGCTCGAGGCCACTCTCACTCTCTTAATTATAAATTGTGGAACAAAATAGCATCTTCCTTATAACGAAACGATACACCGTGGTTTCGTGAAATTCTGATATACATCACTACTAGAGAACGAAAGAAGGAAAGCCTTTTAAATTTTAACAAACTTATGAACACAGAAATTGTCATTCAACTATATTAAGCACAATTTAAAGAATGTAATTGAGGTGAGGCATGGTTAATTTGTTAATGTTTGCATTTTGGGTATTGTGGTCCGAACTCTGTAAGGCACTTTAATGACAGGGAGAGGGGAAACTTCCCCCTTCCTCGGGGGACATGTCGCTATTTTTTGTTTATTTGTTTACAGTGCCATTAAAATTAGAAACGTCGTATTATATTAGCACCTAAGCTTTCTTGTGGGTGGGACAGAAAAATTCTGTTATACGGATGGAAAACAGAATTCAGCACATGAGATCATTTTATAGGCTAGGGCCTAGGTATTTTCTTCTGCCAAGATTACTGCATTCAGCGATGGCTGAGTGCACGTATTCATATTTATGGTGGCGCCGTATTCCGCCGCTCTGAAGCTTACCTCCATCAATTCAGCTGAAAGGCAAAAAAGCTGCGTGCAGACAAAAGAATTGACTAGCTCAAATGCCTGAAACGATCATTAAATTCATGGTCTGTTGCTATTTTGCTGTTTTTTTTCAATCACAAAGAGCGTTGCAAAGTCAAATTCATTGCTATGAAGAGCCTCGTTGATACGACCTTTAGTTCAACAGTTGTGGAAGTCGACCCAAGCACGGGAGATGTAATGTTCGGGGTTTTTACATGGATAGGCCTATGCACCTAGAAATAAAAAAACTCCCTACAGGCTCATTTCGCTTGGTCGTATCACAATCACAACAAATTTCAGTTTTCCGGCCATTGATTTTAAACTCGCACATCTCTTGAGTAAGTTTAAGCCAGCATACTGCATTTAATAAAGTGGCTTCTTGCTGGTGTCATGAACAGATCGAGTCGGTTGCATGTCCTACTAAAAGTATTAAAAAGTCAAGGAACCCGACTCCGGCTGGCACCCAGTCATGAAGACACGCTTGAATCCCTTCGAAAGTTTGACGAACTCTGTGTCCTACGGTCACTTGGCCGAACATTGATTGTAGATGCGTCAGACATTCTACCTCCATGGTCAGACAAGGCGGATCGATATTGGAAGACTGCACAAGACAAAAATTTACATCTCAATAACGTAACAATTAAGTTATGCGCACCCTTCCAGGAAGTATAGCAGTTAAGAAATCAGTAATCTTAAGGTTGCTGTTACGCCCCAACTATAGCTTCTGTCCCAACTATACCGCTGCAGTTGTGCTGGCCCAACTATTGGTGTCAAATTTCTCAACTTCTCCAAATTTATGCAGTTCACTCCTGACATAATTCATCCAAAATATCAGTATCAAAACCTTTTTCTAAAAGCTGTAAAAAATGTCTTTGGCACATGCAATGGGACGTACATGCACACACTGAAATTAAAATTAACAATTTAACTGTCATTATCTGTGCTCTGGTTGGGCACTGCACCAATAGCCTTACTCAATGATCAGACCATGGAGGAAGGTGTTCCTTCCTCCATGATCAGACCAAGTCGGAAAACACCAAGCACGCACTGACAGGAGACCTAAGTACAGACAATCGGTAGAATGTGCACAGACGCCTTCAGAGGGGCCTTGAAGGAAACCCCAAGTCTGTCCATGGAGGCAGTAATGACTCCCCGGGTCGTCAGCAACTTGATTGGTCGAGCACCATAATCTCTCCTTTTCAATGTTAATTCCTTACACTCGATTCAAGCCTGACTCACACCACCCACGATTAATTTTTCTACAACAATGCGTTCAAAACTCTGGTAAGTCTCAGCAATACCAGACAATATTTTGGGCTGAGATATTTCCGATTTAACTTCTACTTTGTTACTGGCTAAGATAATTTATATTGGGGGAGGCTTCTGTGGAGGACCAAAAAATCTACCACGCCGCACTGTATTTGTATATGTATTTATCAAAATGTTCCCCTTCAGATATTACATTTGAAAGCGTCCTTTGTGTAGAAATTTGTTTATCTCAAGACCATAAATAATGTCACTGTTAAATTGTCATGCCTTCATGAAAACAGATTAATCAGATGAAGTGAATCAGTCTTGGCAAGGAGCAGACTTGAATTGAGTCTACGTTGCTATTGGATTCGATAAATACGCCGTCTACTGTTACGCAACTGACCAGTGGATAGTGGTGCCGATGTATATGTTGAAAGTGTTTACTCACTTGTGACGTTTCACTAAGTCTTCTTTGTGCATTTCAATAGAATTTTTGTACAGCAGCGGAGAGACTACAATACAACCTATCGTACCATAAGACCAACGGGAGAGAGCTCGTGGTTGGACTTGCCTTATCTAATATTGTCGCGTCAATCCGATCCTGCACATTCGCATACCGTAACCGTACAGTGTGTGTTATCGGTTCTCGGCTTGGTTATGATATGGAATGTAGGTGTAGATATAGCATGCACGGGTACTGATTGCTGCATTATTACACAGGCCAGGGTGCTCTGAATACAGGTGGAATTTGAACTCAAAGTCGTTTGGCGTCCGTAGAGAGTCCGGCAATACGTACGTGCATCTGCCGTTTCATGCCAGATGGCAACGCAAGTGGACTCTCCAGTTAGGATGGCATGGGAAGAACTAGGCAGCGGCAAGCCCGCTGCAAAGGTGATGTTGTGGTCTGCTCCTCGCTCCCTTTCCACAGTTTTTGAAAGGTCCATCATCGCTTTGGGAACTTCTGATGTTTACAATGAGATGTACACAGCAGCTTATCTCTTTGGGCCGGAGCGACTTTGGCTTAAGAGACTTCCATCGCTCGCCCCGACCCTATCCCACGCCAAAGTGACCAAGAAACTCAACCAGGCAGCTCAGAAAACCCAGAACGCAAGTGTCCACTTTGCCAAAGATTTTGCCTTTGCAGTACAGGGCCATTTCGACGAACTGCCCGAGGACTTCGTTCACACATTTCTTATACGAAACCCAGTGAAGGTGTTCACCTCCTTAAAACCGAGACTAGAGGCGTCACGATTGTCCAAGATGGTCGTTGGCACAAGCATACTCGGCTGTATACCGGCCGAAGGGTACACCATTAAGGAACTTTATGATCTCTTCGAGTACATGGAACACAAGACCAGGAAAACGCCGATAGTTATCGATGCGGACGACCTTCTAAACGATCCTGAGGGGATGATGCAGCAGTACTGCTCGGCGACCGGCATCCCCTACGACGAGAAAATGATGCAGTGGAAGCCGGCGAAGCCCTCGGAACTCAGGTGGCATTGCCCCCGGGTGCTGCGGGCGTCCAATCTGTTCATGGGTTGGTACGACGCCGCACTCAGCAGCTCTGGATTTCGGAAGCCAACGCCAAAGAAAATCGACGTAAATGACCTGCCTGCCGAACTTCGAGAAGCCATTGAGTTCACTAGTCCATACTACCAAGCAATGTACAAGATGAGACTTCGCCCGGACAATTACAAGCAAGGGTCCACGGACTGAGAAGTAAGTTTTGCTGGTGGGCGCATGATTGCATGCATTATGATGAGTGTTTCAATTCGGCCGGAATTAAGTGTTTGGCGAGTTCATTCGTCTCTCAAACTGAGTCGGTGCAATCAATCCCGATAGCATTACATTTAATTGTCAAGCTTTTTTGTTATTTATGACTGAATAGTTATTGTAGAATTGGAAAGAGTTCCATATACAGACAACACTTATTTCCCTCAAAAATAATATTAGAACAACCATCAAAATTCACATGTCATAGAGAGTAAAATTTAGCTGAGAAACTTCTGAAGCATCTACTCATATGAAAAACCTTAAGTATTTTCTATTCTAAGTCCCATAGGTTTGTGCACAGGGCCTCAAATGTTGTCCGTCCGTTGTCTCTTTCCCTATTGTCGTTTCTTAATTCGAAATTAAATATCTTTTGTGTACAGTGCGAAGGTTTTACGTTATTGTGTCAGTATTACGGTATAATTATTAAAGATGAGTATAGCTGTAAACTGCTTTATTCAAATCAGTGAACGGCGCTCTTTTTGTGAAAAATGTTAGTGAAGAGAAGATGAATTATACCGTATTATCTTAATTCCTCACAGAGTAACATAACTATATATTTCTTTACTACTGATTCTGCTAAAGTTTAATTCTAAAAAGTAGTATGGGTGATATCAAGAAATGCTATTAAAATGGACGAGCTTCGCACGCGAAGAGATTCAGTCACTGCGTCAGATCATGGTGCGCTCCCACATAACAGGTCAACAATCCCCCGTCCTGTCCAAGGGCGCCGACCTGCAAAGTTCTTTCACAAAACTGCCCATTGTGGGCAGCGAAATACTACGATCAGTGGTAATAAATGTACAGCATATCCCGTTCACACTGCGGCGGGATCTCTTGACCCCAGGTCATCAAGCAAACAAATTCCATCAATGAAAACTCGAAGAAATGAAATCATATGCGTCACAGAAAAATTGGGTGCATGGTGACCAGCGCCCTTGGAATGAAAGCTGGGTACAGGCAAAATCGCATGTAGCCCCTCTCAGTTGCAATTATAGCAATGTTAAAGCCGATGGGCAATTTCATGAATTTCACGTTGACGTCACGTGATCATGTGCAGACACTCATGCTTCTCTGGCGAAGGGGGCTTTTTTGACTTGGCTTTTCAACCAGTTCCCAATTTTAAAGTCCCCATGTTGAATGTCGTCAAGACTCATGAGAATCACATGAATAGACGTGGTGGTGTACCTGAAACTTTAAGTGACCTTTCATATCAATTTGTTCAAGCATCTTGATGAGATAGCAATATCAGGGGTATAAAAGTCTACTGCTCTGACAATGGGCATCAAGTCAAGGAAAATCGTTTGAAAATCCAACCACAAATAAGGCCGAGGTTGGATTCTGTCAAGGCAAAACGGGCCCGTAGAGGTTATTTATGGGTACAGAGACTGAACTGTGATCCTTATTTGTAATTAAATGTAATTTATGCTGTCAATCTAGAAAGAAGGTGCATCGGTACATTGATTCAAACGAAAGGTTAATTTGCCCGTCGTTCGAGTCAACAGGCTACAATGCAACCAGCACTTGTTATGTAGGTCCAGAAAGACGTGTTTTATTTATGTGTTGCTGAAGTGTGAGTTCTTTGATTAAAGTACCAGCAAGAAAGCCAACAATTATCTGATGGCCTGTCTAGAACAGATGGAGATATGAACATGTACTGTTAATGTACATTTATTTACTGCGGTACGCTTTGAGCAGTCCAACGCTTTTAGGAACACACATGTAACAGATCAATGGTCCTCGTCAAAATTACATTGAAGTTCAGCCGTGCGCAAAATAAACAAAAATAAAACATCCCCTCAAATTTGTCGCCTGCCAGGTCACAACGTTATCAAAGCCAAAGTTAGTTTGATTTGAAGCTGTTTTGAAGGGCCTGACTGCTAAAAGTGCAAAGATCACCGGGACGGGGATTGCCGCGCCATTGCTGGTAACTTGGCTACCTTGAACGGACTCAAGGGAAGTTGATGGAGTCGGTTACCATAGGTAGTAGTAAAATGTACATGCACGTGCTCTTTGGCTGTAGTTTAATCTGGTACCCTTGCACCTTGTCATTCTCCGAGTCTTGTAAACGGAACTGGGAAAATTCAAAATGAAAATGGCACAAGTTTAGACCCATGTAAGGTTCGCGTACGGTGGGGCACTGTACGTGTACACTGCGTGTAATGGCATTAGCACTGTATTTTAAATGCTTCTCAAGCTCGCGATGAAATACACGTATGCTGTGCTGTGGACGCCACAAGCAATCATAAGCGGGTGCGGGAATTTCCCACTGACGTTTTCAAGTGTTTGCTTGACGTGAGCGTCCTCCCTCGTGGCAGACCAAAAAGCTAACAGGAAACTTCATTAAACAAGGTGGGCGAAGGAACTGTCTCCCAGCGTTTAATGTATCAGCCATTGGAAACTCTAGTGGAGACTGTTGCAGATGTTTATCATTCAAAACAAGTCGCAATTTGAAGTCTGAATTACAACTGTCTTCATTCGCATTGGCCATACACAGGGAAACATCTCAAAGTTCCTGATGTAATGTTTTTCGGCTGCCATTGCTTCAGAAAGTCATCTGATAAGAGGACGTTTGATGGAAATAAATTATTCGCTCATAAGGTCGTAGGGCAGGGAATTTAGGCGATTGTATCACGCCGGTGTCGTACAAACAATATAAACACTTGCTCTCATGCCGCATACCTATGACACTAATTTTCCGTTTCCCGTCATTGCTCAACTACTGCCGGTGCAACTTCCCACAGTCCCGTTCTGCGCAAGCACCTCGGTATTGTTCGATCTGTCTGACATTTTTCTTTAACCTTATTGAGCATCTGGAACCCCTTCATGCAGGGTTATCGGCTCCTCTTTGTTGTGCACAGTTGAAGTTTGTTTGCCTTGTATTATCACGTCCGTCATTTTCACAATAACAAAAGGATAAGACCATTACTTATTCACTTCTTGGGTATTTCTCTCTGAGAACCAGTTATGTAGACAATTGTAATGTACATGTATGACTCAACCCCATTAGCCATTATAACAAAACTACCCATCTTTTGTAGTCCTCAACTGGTTCCCGGCCAATCCTGGCCAGATTGTATGATAGTTTATTCCTTTTGTATATTGAATCGCTTACGTGCAAATGATTCCTTTAACTTAAATTATGTGAAATGTCAAAACTGCATCACAACTGTACGTAACAATTACTGAATCGGTGCACTTGAGGGTAGTAAATAAATCGAGGACAAAATGTTCAGTTCATCGTCGGCAGGTGCCAGATTCTCCTCTTGTAAGGCTGGTGTGCAAAGGCACAAAGCGCGTGCGTTTTTGCATGCATGTTTCTGCTGCCCTGACACGGTATTAGGCTACTAGGCATATATGTTGAACTCACTGAGTACATGTAATAGGCATATTCCTTGTATTGGTGTATCATGTTGAGGATACACGGTGCTTGCTCTTTGCAAATGTTTCATGTTTTAACAGGGTTATACGAATAGCAGAGTACGTGTAATGTTTTTCTACGTCAGGTTATGTTTACAGGCGCACAATTGCAAGTAAATGTAGTGAATGTGTATGTTCTTTTTCGAGCTTCACAGAATTGCGCTAGATATATAGGCCATTGAGTTATGACATTTTCAAATCTGAATATTGAATGAATGGCCTTTATCGCTAGAGTTTTGGTAATGCTAGTGTGTCGAAGACGTGCAGTAAAAAATATGAATAAATTGCCGTTCGAAAGAATTCAGGATATGGCGAATGCCACTGACTTCACTTGGTACCGACTGTCATTTTCCATGTTGAAGAAATTTCTATCAGTGTATTTTCTTGTAAAAGTACGGTTTTGGTGTATTTCCTTCCAAATCGATGTTAATGCAAACGAATGAGAGGTACTTGTACCTAATAATGCACTCTATGTAATGCACATGTACTACTGACCGAAGTTCGACCGTTTAGTGATGACATTTCCGGATTGGAAACTGAATTAATGGTCCATAATTTTCAGCATTTTTTCACGTAATAAATTACGTTTTCTATTGTGTAGTGCGTGTATTAAGTGTGTGCTTGTTTAATTAAATTTAGATTCCGTAGCATGTGTAAACAAAGGGGGAGCGCATTATGTTAAATAATAAAAAGTACTGTACGTTTTGTTGTATACATGTTATAGTTTCCTATGGTTGAGTGCGCATGGCGGACATATATAAAGTCAAGAACTTTGCTTAAAAATGATGGAGTGAAAAATAGAGGTGGCACTCTGTTATCATTGAATAAAATTGGAAATGAAGAAGAAATCGGCGATTTGTTTCTGTCACCTTTTTTCCCCGTAAATAATAATCACACAGTGTGGCCAGTAATCATGAGCCGGGGGATAAGTTGCCCCTTCCCGCAGCATTATGCCATTTTTTAAGGAATAATATTGAAAACATTTAGAAACAGTACTACCATCGAGGGATTCGCAGATTCTTTGATGGGTGAAAAAATGGATGCATCGCTGACTTCATGTAACAGTGCTTTTCTTTCTGAACCGCAATAAGTCAAATCAAATTTAAAGAACCTTAATGTTTTTTTGAAAATCATTTAAGGGCTTACTGTCATCTACAGATGCTTGTCCGCGCCCTTTGTCATTCACGCGACCAGGAGTTCTGAGAATTATTCGGATTTTATCTCGAAAAGCAATTCTTAATATGCTTTATTATTCATCATGTAAGCATTACAGGTTTCCTAATTTTTTACTGTTTATTCCTTTTGAAAATCTTCTTGTACTTCCTCGCCACGTTAAAAGACTCGGTATTTTGAAACCACGAGTGCTAGTTTAGGCCCCCTATCAGTGAACTAAATATTTCAGTTCACAAATTATCTTCCTCCATAATGATTGTGAACGCACGTGCACGATGGATTAGACTGTAGCCATTCCCAGGCCTTTAATACACAGGGGAATAGGATACTTGGCAAAGATGAGAGTTTATAGATCCATTGAAGGGAAGCTCCGCCAACAGTTCTACGCGTGTCTACTCGAGGAAAATGAGCCCGATGTGGCGGTCTCAACTGTCTCCCAGTCTCAGCGGTCCCCCCCCCTCCCCGACGTAGCCGGACATTTCAGCACGACACAAGCACGATCCCGTTGGTTTTCCGTGCTGAGATGTCCACATGACAGCAAGTTACTACGTGTATTATAAGCGGTACTGTTAGGCCTATGTACAGTACACGTCACGTACAACGTGAAGCATGCGTTGACTGCACTGCTCAGCACGCCACTTAAACGGACGACTTTCCCATTGTTGTGCGCCGAGATGACATGACGTATTTTTACCATAAGGGGGGCCACTGAGACTGGGAGACAGCTGAGACCGCCACACCTAGATTTGCAGGCAGACTCACATTACATCGGTGTTGATTTTTTGACGGTCCTATGATAAACAGCACATTTCTATGCAATCGGACGGTGACAGAACATAAACGACAATGATCTCGGTCTGTTTCACTCTTAATTTTTTCATAATTTTCAAAAGGATGATATAAAAACAATTAACCTTCAAAAATGTTAAGTGTGCATCCCTAATTCTCTCTACTCGACCATTCTGATGCAATAAGTACATTGTATACTTGAAAATTCTGATAGGCCATTATAATCTCTCTCTCTGTGCCGCAGAAGAGGGCGATTAATCCGTTCGATTAGACATTTCTTGTCCAGTTGTTGGTTTAAAATCTTATCAGCATGGTAACGTCGGATGTAGCTCACACAGTGGGGTCATGCAACTTTGTGCTTGCCAAAAGTTTGTTGACACGCACCGTACCACCCCGTACAGCCAAGTAATTGAGCAATTTTACCGGTGTAATACATTAAAACTGCCCACGGGTAAAGTCCAGAAGTACAACCGCCTCCTTCATTCAGGGATCTCCATCGCCGTTTTATAGAACATATGGGTCATCATCAGACGGCAGATTTGGAAGCTAGCCAGCCCCAACACAACAGACCGTATTCGCGGCGTCCTCAATTTCAGTCGTATTCCTGAACGTGCAGTATAAATTTGAAACCGTAAATTGGATGGTACCAGGTGATTTGGGGGGTAAGAATGAAATCGAAGAATGTAGTCTAGTTCTTTGAATTTAACGTTTTCAAATAAATACTCTACGTTGGGGAATATGACTGAAATGGAGTCCCCACAAATAGGGCCCATTGCATTTCGCAGTGCTAGTGTTGTAGCCTAGTGCAGGTCTTTGAGCATTGAGGACACATTTGAGGGCGCCCTCCTGCAACTATACTGTTAGGGGGCGTCCTGTCATGTCAAAACACTCATATAGCGCATCCTTTAACAGAGTTATATTGCGGCACCGTAATTTGTGCAACAGGTATTTCCGATCCTGAGCGAGTGCCGAACATCGGAACGAATTAAAGAGAACCAATTTTACGCATTACTCTCACGTACGGAGTGACTAAAACTGGAAAGCTTGCAAACCCAAGACTAAGCTAGGGGACTGATGTTCAACGAAAAGATTTTTCCCAAATTTTCATTTATTTAGTCACAAAAATTCACAAGTCACAATCACATGGCAATCAGATTTCACCTTGCATTTTCAGCACTCAATCTGAAGCAAATGTTTCACCTGACCAGCCCAGGGTAAACATTCAGAGTAATGTTTATTATTTGTCGATTACAATGGTAGTTTTAAGCTCAATAGCATATCAGACTTCGATGGACCTGCCTAGACTACGGTAGTATAGAAAAAAGAGCTGTGTAAATGCCGCTTGTCGAATTTTCGCACGCAAGCTGACTTATCTCACAAATGAACACTATACAAATGCAGTGAAATGTTAAATCGGCGCTTCACATCACAAGGTGAACAGAAATCAATGGAACCAATGGCAGCTTGAATGCTTGGGAACATTAGAATGTGCCAACATCGATAATGATTAATCACCAAGGGACTTTTCATGCGTGTGTTATGTTGTGCATCCAGCCGTATTAGATTTAATGAGGGGGAAGAAGAGGTTGAAATCACTTCACCAAGTACCGCTTCAAATAACGCGTCTGACAGAAATACGGGACCCCCAAATAAGCTTTCATAAAGAAAAGTGATATATTACTCCCGGTTAGGAAAAAACAAGCAAGTTCTGAGCTGTTCAAGACGCACATCATTTCTTTTCAATTTTTACTAGGTAAACCAAAGATTTCTTTTATAAAATATATCCATCCTAAGATGACCACCCCTGAAAATAGTCATGAAGCCAGTCGCCACTTTGAAATTCGTAAAGTAATGCCTACCCTCCCTGCTAAACAGAACCATTGGAGGGCTTTGCAGGAGGGCTCTGTTTTGTCCATATCTCAGAAATGCTGAGCTGGCCATTCTTGTTCGAAGCCTCGAAGTGTGGGATTCGAGTGTGTCATTGGGATTTGGCTGGCGACGGTCAGAAACTATTGGGGGGATATAGCTGCCCTGTAATCTTTATCCGTTGATCAACTCCGATCCGACAGGTACAATGTGAGAGGTCCCTGCACAAGGAAGTCCATTTAACAATACGGGGAACATTTCTGTGTCGGCCCCTTTCTGTTTTGTTTTGCTTTGCTTTACGTCGCATAGTTTGTGTGTGTGTGTGAGGTAAAGGATGGGATGTGTGCTTGCAAAAAAAAAAAGAGAAAAGAAAAGGAACCAGTGTTGTATTCGAATCCATCACAACTTCACAAGTCCTTTCACAAGGCCAGTCATAAGTAATCAGAGAACAATGACAAATAATGCTTTTGTCACAGCCATTTTGAATAGCTTGTAAATTGGCTTCTGAATGAATGACTTGTGATGGACTTGTGATGGCCTTACAGGGACTTGTGATGGACTGAAACACTGAAAGGAACATGCCGTGACATTTCTCTCGGTTTCAAAGTTCACGACCTTGCACAACAAACAGGTTCTTATCACACAAAGATTAGTAGCGCTTTTCGAACAAAGCTGAATCATAACACTCTGACCGCGCTGAACCAAATAAATGCCACTAATCGTCGGTTTTGAAAGTTCACAGTGTGAACTTCCAAAACCGACGATTCCACAGATGTGAAATATGAAACAAGGCCCATTGATTCAGTCACGTTTTGTGCTGAAAAATCATGCCTGTAGAATTACGTAACATTGTCTCCGGTTGGGGGAAACAGATGGTGGCTGAGAGTCCCCCAGAATAGTACAAGCAAACACTGTCCATTTTAAACCATAAACTGTCCAGTGGTAAGTAGTGGCATAGATATCTGCTTGCTTGCCCTATGGTATTTGGTACCTGGTTTGAAAAGGACGTCTCTTGGCTAGCTTTCTGATGCTTTTTCATTTTATCTATTGCTTTTGGGCAATTTAGAGATATGCCCTTGATGCCACGTTCTCACTGAACATAATAGGCCCACAATTCTACTAGTACAATTTAACTATGCACACTACAGCCCCCTTTCACGTTCCTATGGTGTTCTATTCAGGCCACATTACGCTGCACAATGAGAGTTGCTTCACTGCACAGTAAGATTTCCTCTGCGCGATGAGAGTTTTTGTCAGCGCAATGAGTGTTGTTCAGCGGTGCGGTAAGTGCTGTTATGGTTCGTTGTACTACATTAATACGCGCCCATAGATAACGGCACAAAATCCAAGAGAAATTTCGCCCCTGTGGCCCCTAGGAAGATTATGGCCTCGTTGCTTACTAGAAATTCAACATTATGACCATTGGGACAAATTTGTTTTCAACTTCACGAAGTTTTTGTCTGGAAATTATATTCAGCGAGAGACAAAGAATTAAAAATGTTAGATATAAAGATTCAGGGCAGGCAGTGGTATTAACCTGAAAATTAATTTAAATGATCTTAATGCACTTTTGATCCTAAACTTTTTCCTTTCTCTTTTTAATTTCAGTTTCTACCTAAATTAAAGACTACCGAAAAAATAGTTTCGTTACATTTAATATGTGTGGGAACACACAAAGTTACCTGAGCGTGATGCGGTTGAGATTACGAAAGTGTGTGTTCAATTTCTAACAAGATATTTCTATTCAGGTCAGTCAATTTTTCGATTTCTTTCAATTAATGTGCTGGTAAAATATTTCACTAAGGCATTTTTTGAGCTGATTTTTGAAAACATTCCCTACCCAAGGATTCCAGAAACAGTTACTTTTATAGGTCAACTTTCAGGCTATATAAATGGGCTTTGTGACCGCTTGTGCTCGTTCCCAAAAAGCACGAAAGTTGGAGTCTCAGCCAAACAACTCTCATCGCGCAGTGCAACAACTCTCACTGCGCAGTGTCATGTGGCCTGAATAGAACACCATACGC